AAAGGTTGTGGTAATAAATTCGGTGGGTATGATAAAGAGCTTGCTCCTTACATAATTTCAATATAAGTTTAATAAGGATTAACATATTAAATGCTCAAGATACTACTCAAATCTTTTTCAATTTTCTAAATCGTGCACTATGAAATGTACCCGGATTTTTTATAGAGATATTATAGCATGGGGGTAACTGTAGTCAGTGTCATCGAAGCTAAACAAACTTAGTATAAGGTTATTCATTTATCAACTACATAAACTACAATTGATTATGTAAATATGAATTTAACTATTTTGATGAATATAATATAGTTGATGCAGATGTTCTGAACCTGAAACAGAATCAGAAATAATAAAAATTACAAAAAACCTTCGCGAAGAATAATACAATTTTATTAATTGTACTTTACATAGACATACAAATATTCAAGCATATAATCTCCTGAAGAATCTTCTGATCTTGCACAACAAAAAAATGGGCAATGTTGAAAATATTCATACTAATTTTTAAATGGTAGAAAATTTTAAGCGTGTAAAAAGTTTTCCAAGAATATGAAATGGATGAAATAAGAAAACACTTTATTGTCAATAAGCGATTTTGTTTAATACACCTTTTTTTCAAAACAAGGAGTATCAAGAACAAAAGTCGCCTAAAGTATTCAGTAAACATTTAGAACTTCCAATCATATCAGAAATATTAAAGTAATTTTATATTATAACAATTCCCTTTTTAGAATGATTTATTATTTTAATACCTGATATGTCTTCTCAAAAGAACAGTCAATAGGTCCTTTAATAAGAATCGCAAATCTGGTAATTAGAATTTACAATGGAACATTCACTTAGCCTGATACACAAAAGCAGATTCAGTTTGTGTATAGATAATATTGAAACGACTGCATGACTCAAGCTAATTTGCATAATCATATTGTTTAATATTTGATCGGCAAGTGGAACAGATTTTTTGATAGAAGATAAATATGCAAATACTAATAATAAATTATTTTTGAATTTTTAATAGTTACGGTCATACACAGTGAAGAGCTCCGGAACCCGTCCGATCTCCGAAGATAAGCCACTGATGGCCAAGTCAGTACTATGGTTGGGGACAACATGGGAATACTGGGTGCTGTAACTTTTGCCTTTTTTAATATTAACGCTATACTATTTAGATTTTCGATTAAGATCTCGCATAAAGTTTTCTGATTGGTTAAATCCAGTAGATTTACTAGAGCTTTTGCCCGGGTCAAAAATACCGATCCGGTGGGTCAGTATTAGCACAGCTTATAATCCGGGTCAATGGATCGTAAAGTTTTGAAAGTTAATCCTCAAAAGTTGATATAATGACTCTTAATTAGAGTGATTACCATAAAAAGGCAGCCTGTATTCCAAATACTTAAACTGGAATTTTGAATTTGTATTAAAAAATTTTTCGACTTTGTGTTCGTTTCTATTTCCTGAAACCAGTGTTAAATATCTGATGTTCTCAGTGTTTTCAAGAACATTTAAAAAAATTTGAGAACATTGTATTTAAAAAATATGTTCTCTTTCGAGAACCAACTAATAACATAACATTTATAATTTATGTTCTTATATGATATATAGAAAGTATATAATTTCCCTCTTTTTTATTTTATTTTGTTTTTTTTTTATCATTAAGAACATTATAATTTTTATAAGAACATAAATTTATCAATTTATGTTCTCAAAGAACCAAAAAAATTTCAAATCTTTAACTCTGCCTGAAACATTTGGTAAAAATTAGCTTGAGGAGACTTGTAAGTGAAGTACTAAATACTAAGGATTTACTGTAAAGTAGGAACCAGGATTTAGGTAAACCCTATAAGGGTCTGGAAGCTGACAGTAAGAGATAGTGGGGCTATCTACCAACCAGTAGGGATACCTCAGTATAAAGATACCTGACTTAAAATTATTGGTGGGCATTAGCAATCAGTAAGTTTAAATAGTTAATCTCCAAGTAAATTGCAGGTATGCAAATAGTATAGAACCTTCACGTGGACTACTTATATAGGCAACCTAAAGTTGTATATGTGGCTAGATTGTACACTTATTGTTAATACCATATATAGGATCCCCATGATCTAATTACAATAAATCATCAATAAAGCTCAGTCCTTAATAATAAAAAAATAAAATAAAAATAAAATAAAAATAAAATAATCTTTTTATTATGAAAAATATCATATTGATAACTTTAATATTATTATAAACTCATCAAAAAAAGTGCTAGTTTCTTGAACTATTAATTGGATACTTTAATAGTTAAAGTATTATAATTATTAAATTGCAGTAAAGTAGCCAAATTGACATTTTTATTTTTATCCAAACTTTAAAATTAAGTAATGATAAGGTAAGCTGCAAATTGGAACATATCAATATTCGGATAATATAGTAAACTGATATTTTATATAACTATCGAAACACTAACTCTTTACCAGAATATAGACCTTTGTAAAAATAACTATCTTAATAACATTTCTGATCGTAACAAAAAAACACAAGTAATTACATAGTACCCATGAAATAAATATTAATAAATCAAAAACATACAAGAAAAAGGTTTATTCATCATCCTTAATCATCATTTCCATTATAAAGAGTATATCCAGTTACATCCTGAATAATTTCATATGATAGAGCAGCAGTAAGTTCGAGACTTGAAGTAACTTGTATGCCAAATAGATCTACAAGATCCAAATTCCATGGAGTATAAAGAAATACAGGACCACCTATATCTGACATTGCTGTTTCCATATCTGTAATTATCAAACGTTCAGATGGTCTTTTCTTTTTATCAAAATAAAATCCATTAAAAGCTTTTATATTTCCACAAGTAACATGCGTACCAAACCCTGAATGGCATATGTGACTTCCAGGGATAGTTTCACTTTCTTTTCTAGTACCATGTATAGTTAGCTCTTGATAATTTTGATCATCTGAATTTCTTATAGTTGGTCTTTTAACAACTTGTGTAGCCGTCCAACTAATTTCACCAAAATTGTATGGGAAATTCGGGTTATACATGATACCTACAGATTTCGATTTAAAGAAAGTAGAAATTTCTGAATTCCACGGCCGTAAATAATATTTATTTGTATTGGTAGTAGTTTCATCTTTTTCATAGCAATAATTTCTTTCGGTTATAACAAAAAATATGGGTTTCTTCTTTCCCGAAGTTCTTTTGTGAGAACGTGCAATAAAACCAACCGAACATGTTATACTTTTACTATAATCATTTTTATGATCCCCACGTTTCAAATTCAAAATACCATCACCAGCTAAGATTAGTTGATTTATTAGTGGTTGTGGTTGTCGTTTATGTAGTTCCTCACTTGGACCAGGATGCTTGGTATTTGTTGTTTTGTTAGGTGGACCCCGAAAGACTTCATTATTTCTTATATCAATATAAACATAATGGTCTCCTTGCGGAAATAGTTTTGCTGCATTAATCCAATTATTATATTCAGTTTTCAATTCATCTAGGGATTTATTCACCGTATGAAATGTCAGAAAATTCCTATGCGGATCCAGTGCAGGTAAGTTTTCTATTGTAGGATCTTTGATATAGACAAGTAACTTATTCTCTTTAACATCTACATAAATTCCACCAAATGATGACGTTTCATTTATTAGTGGTTTTATGGTTCTTCCTAATTTGATTAAATCATCTTCTCTAAGTAAGTATTCAATCACGTGATCATCTCGTATATCCCACAATTTCGCCAATGGATGATTCTGAGCATAAACCGCAGAAGAAATTTGTAATATGAAAATAAATAATGTTGGCAAATAAATTTCGTTCATTTTTATATGATAATAAAATCTTATTAATGGAGTTAAAAGTGTGGAAATCTAGTTTAGTTAAATAGTTGACGTATTTTATCTGAAATAACCTGTTTACAAATTTATTTTGTCTCAAACAAGCTCCGTAGGCACTTATTATATATAGTTTCAATTATTTCCCTGATATTTATTTCATACTAATCCCAAATTTATTTTATCTCAATCAAGCTTCGTTATATATGGTTGGCGTAATTTAAATTGGCGAAATTATTTTCCACTGACTAAAATATAATAATTTAGTATATCGAAAATATTTTAGTATGGCGAAAATATTTTAGTCTAGTGAAAATATTTTTGGATGTCTTAGATAATCGGTTTTCATATTCCACATGTAATTGCACGAAATTTTCATATTAAAAAAAGTACTAAGTATTTGTATAATATTAAGATACCATCCGTACGAAATTGTTAGATCTTTATTACTATAAATTCTGAGGCACTTGAAAAACGAAATGTTAAGTTTTTGATATCAGCCAACATCAGTAACTTAATGATTCTGACTCGATAACTTATCGATTCGGTTACTTAAAAATATGAAAGCAGCTGAAAGACTGTTTACATGGAATCTTTGCTGATGGAAATCAAATTGTTTTTTCAAGATTCGGAAAAAATTTATCCGTTACCCGCACTAATGTCACACGAATATGCAATATCCGAATTTTGTGAAACTATCCAATTTTTTTAATATTACTAGTGTCAGAGTCGGGATTTGAAGAGTTTGGTGCTTATAGAGATTTGTTTTATATAGAGGTTAAATTTTATATGTGTTATATAAGTTTGTTTGAAAATTTATGTGATTATGATGACTATAGAGAGGTTTGTCTGTATGTTAGAAAAAATAAATTGTTTAATATATAAAATCGGTATTAACATATTCCTTCTTTGGGCTTTCAGGCATCCTGATCAAAACAGTGAATACAATAAAGTTATATTGTAGATCGTTTTGACCAAAACAATAAATATAATGATTTTGAATCATCTGAAGTTAGGTTAGACCTGAGATTCACAAATTTAGTGTGGATCCCTATTTTTTTGAGTACGTATAAATCACGGTGCTACGAATAGTTGTGGTGTATGATTGAGTGAAGTAGTAGTGTATACTACAAAAATCGCATTTGAGTATATAAAACTATATAGCATACTATACTCATAATATATATAAATATATGTAAAAATAGTATAGTTGCAAATAATTTAATCATGTGACCTTACAAAAATGCTGCAAAAGGTTATTTACGGTTATAATAAAAATATAATAGTAAAAAAAAAAAGACTTTAAAATCAAGATTTTTATATGAATATAGATGATTGTGCGTACTGCCGGATTGTACTGTCGTACTATATTGTTTTTATGGGATTGTAAAACAAAAATCAAGATTTTACGGAATTGTATGTGCATACGTTCATTGAAATTTTTTATATTACGTAACATAGGTTTATATTTAACGTTAACAAATTAATTTGATTTATTCATTTAATCTGACGTTTTTTTCTACGCGTGTTTTTCAGGCTTTTTTTTTCGAGAATAGTTTTTGGACAGCTAATATCAAACATCCTAATTTGTTTGTCAGCTATCTTAGTTAAGAGGTTTCGTAACTAATTTCGATTTTTGCTAAAAAATTTTAAACTGACAAAATGTGGCGAAACTAGAAATAGACAAAATAAATAAAACTGAAGGTTGTATGAACTAGTAAATCCTAAGATAATTTAAGATAATTTAAGATAATTTAAGATAATTTAAGATAATTTAAGATAATTTAAGATAATTTAAGATAATTTAAGATAATTTAAATTAGCCTTTTATCTTAATTAGGATAGCTGCGCGACGCGTAATGCCGCGCAGGACCAGTACGATCATGTATAACATGTAAATTCGGACTATTCGAAAGTTATTGATAAATGATTTTAATACTCATTAAATAAACAAAACTTAGAAATATAACGTAATTATGGTAAATGCTATATGCCCGAATATTATCTTTTAGGTAATGGTGCAGCACAAATTCTTTAAAGTTCGTTCATTTTAGTGTTAGGGTTAGTGTTATGGGCTAGAGAAGGGTAGTTTTCATAGTAAAATTTCCCAACGAAAACCTTTTTGTTAGAACACCAAAAGTGATTTCTTATGTAGAATTACGAGAAGTAAGAGAAATGAATGAAAAAGTGTTTAAAACTGTTTTTTTTTCATCCTTAGTATTAATAAGAGTCTTGACCCTAACACTAAAATGAACGAACTTTAAAGAATTTTGACTGCGCCACAATCCTGGCACGTAATGCCCTGATTTTGAAATCTGATTTATAGCTCAGGCAACCGGCAAATCATTATGACCTCGATGCTTACCTTAAATAACCATTATCTCATATGATTATCATAATAATACTTAAATAAGCAAAACGATAACCATAACACCTTTTAAAATAGGAAAAAATATAGCGCACCAAAAAGTTGAACGGAACCATTCCTCCAGTATATATTTTCCAATCACAATTAGAACGATTAGCATCTTTATTGAAATTGTATTGAAATTGAAGTCGCATTTTAACCTGAGTATTTGCTTGCCATTGTATAGCCAACAATTAGAATAATATGTAAAAAAAACAAGTTTAATTAAAATTAAAAGTCACATGTTTAACTTTCACAAAGTTTCGCATAACTTTATTGGAGTTCCATCAAGGTTTCAACGTTTCGTCAGAGTTTCAATGCTTCGTCAGAGTTTCAATGTCATTTTCCATTTTTGAAAATAGGCCGCTTACTATCTATGGTGGTAGTGTAGAATGTTATGCTTCATATATTACATATAAGTTTTTTGAGAAAAGGAAATCTATCTTCAAATGTATTATCAGATTAAAATTTTTATTTGAATTATTTTTATCGAAAATAAAATTTCTCTTTATTAGTAATAAAGTTTTCATTAAAAGGATCATTTTCTTCAAAAAATTTTCATTTTTGAAAAGCTATTAACCGATGGTGTAGACTCCTCGTCAGAACTAATATCATTCGAAGGTGTCATCATTTTATTGATGGTAATCTATATTTTTAAAAACTTTTTTTTAAAAAAAAATCACTGTCGCGATCATTGCTTTCGTTATTTAAAGACAATATTAGGTTTAGGGATTTGAATTTATGACTTCACAGAATCGATTTATTAAAATTATTCAGAATTGTCCCGTTTAAAAGCCCGAAGTCTTGTTTCTTTAACGTCACGTTTGCATAAATTTTATATACGTTTGTATACTATATATTACTTTATACACAGTGACTTTTTAGATGCTGGTGAAACTGGTGACTATCTAAAATCTGATTGGTTGTTATATTAAATTTTACCAGTTTCACCAGTTTCACCACCATTCACCAAGCTTTTCACCAGTTTCACCAGCATCTATAGTTGTGACCTCACCAACCATACATACGTGTTTGCTAATTTAACTTATTATACACTACTTTATTAAATCATACACCACTACTATTCGTATTACTCACAAATCATGCGATATATGCAATTACTATGGGTTTACATTCCGGATCTATTTCATATTGATAAAAATATCTGACACTAGATAGATGCGAGACGTCATCGCACAAAACTAGGAACGGAATATTTAAACAAAATAGAAACTAAAATTTAATTAATACAATCATATGTAATATCTCATTTTATTGGTCAAGGATTTCAAGGTTTGTCAAAGAAATTAATTTTATGCGGGATTTGTTCTTTATGCTGATCTTAAATCCTTGACCAAAAAACCTGGTATTAGGCAGTGATTATCCAATAACTTATTATATTAATAATAAACTTTTTAGCAATATAATTAGGAATTAGTAAAAAACATAATTAAGAATTAGTAAAAAACAATAGTATCGTAATGATATAATTAAAATTTTAGTTATTATTCGGATTGGAGCTGTAGAAACTCTGCGATATATGGCTAAGTCAAATTGATTAGCAGGCATGGTAAAAGTAGCATAATAATGTGTATTGTAATAGTTAAATTTTGTTGCAATAGAAATTCTTGACTATAATGCAGGATATGGAAATGTTTCAAAGATGAAAATAAATGCGATATACGTAATATAACTTATTGGTATATGTGACTATCAAGGGAAAATCTGTCAACTGGGTTTTGAGCAGGGCACAAAATTCTATTGTAAAATACCGAAGGTCCGTTTAGTTAAGTTGACTTCCGGCGTAGTTTAAAGCGGCTGGAAATTTTATAATATTACAGCTGTTATCATTATTCCTGGGACGCCTAATGAAAAACTAACCGAATAATTATTCAGCCGACTCGATAAGTTATTGATTTCGGCATGATCAGTATAATTGCTTATTATTTACGGAGATTATGTGCGTATGTACGTGGGTTTTAAATTGGTTACTAATCGATTTGTAAATTGAAGCTCACATGGAACATATAGCTTTAAAAGACCTCTATTTACAATGCAACAGTGACAATTATTAATCGATAATGACCAGATAACCAATATCTATATAACGAAAAAAATTTTAGGTTATAAGTTCGAATAATTGCTAAACACTTAGATGTTAGCAGATCATCAATAAGTCGAGTTCTTAAACAATTTTAAAGATATGGTTATGTTGAAAGACTTCTGCTACTTGTAAGAAAACCAGTTTACTAAACCTGAATGATATATATAAAATATCTTAAGACTTTAATTGGAGAGATGCCTGACTAGTATTTTTATGAGTTACAATCTGAGATAGAACTTTGATCAAGTTTAATATGGGTACACATAAAAGCTTAACATAAATTTATTAAAATGTATAATACGTATACGCAAATTGAATTGTGCAAGTTAAGTACATTATTAATCATTACGTATAAATATATCATTATCAATATATAAAGAAAAAAATCCATAAATTAAATTTCGCTACAACCATTCCTAAGAATATCGATATTCAATTAACCGCTAAATTTTGTGTAACCGTGTTAAACTTTCTGAGGATACTGTACGTACTGTACATAGTTTTAGACTATCTCCGTAAATAATAAACGTTATTACATTGATCATGCCGAAATCAATAACTTATTGAATCGGCTGAATAATCATTCGGTTAATTTTTCATAAGGTGTCCAAGGAATAATGATAACAGTTGTAAATATATTGCAGGAATTTCTAAATTTCGTTTACCGAAAAAAAAGCAGGTTACATCACTCGGAAGTTTTGTGCCCTGGTTTTAAGTCTATCGATTATAGTAACGATTTATTAGATATTATGTATAGTAAATTATAATTTAAATTCATGATGGCAGATTTTTTTTCTTGTGGGCACTTTCAAAGCACACAAATTGAAGTTTTAAACAGAATGATATAAAGGAATTGAGGCGAATCTAATATAGCTTTTTTTTTAATTTACCATATACGATCTAAAATTATTGAGAATTTATATTTTTAATACAACACATTATGTAATAATGAGCGATTTTAAGTAATTCTTATTTTAGCAAGACGCTTTTATCAATTCAAAATATTTACCGAAACTTTATTGATAAATTAATTATTTTTAAAGTATTTCAAACAGGCCAGTTTTAAGAGTGGCTTCTTTTTTAGCATTGATGTTTAGAGTTGAGATAATAGATGATTGGTTATCATGATATACATTTGAAATTTCAAGCAATCAATATTACAGCATTATAACATTATAGTTATATCTTTTTTTATGCATCTATTGGGGTGAGATTTATAACTAACAAGAAGTAAATCATGTTTAAGTTTTTAGTATTAGCTTTCCGTTAGCCTGACCTCAAGTTAAACTTGAATTAGGATTTATGTCTTTTACATGCGGATTAATTCACATTTAAGTTTATGAGTTTTGCTTCAAAAATCACATGTATACGTATACAATATGGAAAGATCATACCTAACCAAAGAATTTAATGATCTTTTCTAACTTTATCTTAGTTTGCAGATTGCTATTTATACTGAAAAAATATACTGAAAATATGATTTAAATTTCAAGAATAAATGATATCATTCTACATTAAAATACAGGTTATCACATAATGTACATATTACATATTGATCTTAGAATTAGCATGAGCTTGGTATTTTCTCTAAATTTGAGATTATTTTTTTCTTTAATAAATTACATAGAATTTTGAAATATTTTACAAATAGTCTTTATCGATTTTAAGATACAGAAAAATATTAAAATTAGATTTATTTTAAATATATTAATTTATTTCCTCATATTATAAAATTATCGCCCGTCACGAGTGTCCTGTACATTTTTAACAATCAATTTGGTCATGTGCAGATTTAAATCTCATGACTATGAGAAAAAACGTATAATGGGAAATCTGCGACATAATTGCCATTGGTTATGACCGTGCGAAATTTATTGCATCAAATTCAGTACACTTCAGAACGAAAACTATACGCCAATATCGTTTTTAACAAGATACAGTATCTGGGTTTTTTGTGCCTTTAAACATTACTTACATTATTTTCTTTGGAATTTAACAAGATACAATATCTGGGTTTACAGTATTATACCTTTACACATTACTTACACTACTTTCTTTGAAATACTAAAAAAGTACTGAGGTGCTTTGAAAATTCATCATACAAAGCCGAAAGTCAAAGGGCATACTGAAGGCCCAAAGTTTTATCGAAAATCAAAAGTCTTGTCAAAAGTTCTACCGAAATTCAGAAGCTTTATCGAAGCAAGACTAAGGTCACTGCTTATCTGGGTGTCTACTATTACACGATTCACAATATGATGCAAGCCACATGCGGGCTACATAGTAAATAGATGACCAAATTTTTATAAAAATCTAATCCTTAATAACTTTTGAACCAATAAACATGTACAAATAAATTATATTTGCCGAAGCTCTCCTAACTTACACTTTAAATTATGAGAAAACCCAGATAATGAATTACTATATAATCGCAGTAATCGTATGATAGTAGACACTTGTATAGGCTGTAACATATTTCAACTAGTGAGATAAATTTCTAACATTATTACGTTGTAAAGACTCTTTTCATTAAATAACTTACTTTTATTGAATTTAAAAATGTTAAATACTGCAGGAGAAACTAAAGGCGAAGTAAATCGATCTTTATAATAATTTAATATGGAATGTAGGTCCCAAAATTTTAATTTAACATTTTACTTGTGTTTATTTTCGACTTATTTCTAAATTTGTTTGGGTTGATCTTAAGTAGTGTTGGTCACCAAAACCTTTTTGGCCAAATCCAAAAGTTTCAGGTTTCAGATTATAGTTTCCGAAACCCTACCTGAAACTCGAAACCTTACCCAAAACCCGAAACCTCACCTGAAACCCTGAAACCTAAAATCTTGCCTGAAACCTAAAATTTTACTAAAACTCAAAATATTTTCAAAACCTAAAACCTTACTTGAAACCTAAAATTTTATTTATAGCTGTTTTTATTTGCTAAATAATTTTTTAGCCAATTTGATTAAGTTATTAATTTTGGTATAATATATTTAATATAAAATTTAAAATTAGGTGACTAATATAAAATTTTTATAAAAAAGAAAATAAATTTATTAGTTAAAATTTTAAATTATTAATTAAAAATATTTTTTTTATTAGGGTTGTGACAAATATTATATAATATTTTTTACTATACCCTACTCCCCTCATATAAGAAAAATTTGATTGGCTCTTATAAATTTAATATTTAATATAAGATTTTAACAACCCCTCCCCCCTAAAAATATTAATTTATATAAATATATTTTTATTAAATATTTTATAAAAATAAATTTAATTTATATATTGTAATTTTAAAATTTTCAAATTATATTTTTGAAAGTTCAGATTATAGTTACAAAATTTTGAATTATAGTTTTAGGGTTTCAGATTATAGTTTCAGGGTTTCAGGTTTTGGGGTTTCAGTTTTTTTTTTAAAAAACTGAAATTAGTTTCGAATTAGTATCTTCTGAAACTAGTTTTGGGTAGGTTTCGTTTCGAGTACCAATTTTAATCTTAAGCTTATGAATTTCGATTTGTTGGTTAATATTTTAGTGTATCCTCATAAGCCGCCACATTGACCATTTTATCTGAAAGGAAATTGTTTATTACAGCATTTTTAAAGTACTAGATAGCTGCATAATGCTATTACACAAAACCATAATGAAACTTAATTTGCTTAAGTGCAGAAAAATAATTTTCTTTTTAAAAATTTAAATCATATATAAAGTTTTTTATATTTGGTATATATCTTCAAATATAAGTAACCACAATTTTACACATTTTTCGAATTGAAAATAAAAAGTTTGCTTATATTCAGAAATAGCTTTACTAGTAAACTTAGCCTTTGCCAAATTTTCAATTTCAAATTTGGAGGTTGCTTTTATTCTGGTGTTGCCTATATTCAGAGATATACTGTATTCATTTTAATTACAGTTTTTAGTAATATTTATTAACTATTTCGATTTGATATATTCTATTAAAATTGTTTTGGCCTGCAATTTTGGGTATACTGTTTTTCTGCCAATTATAATTAGTTTTTTTTATTAATAAAAGTTACTGAAAATTGAATGTGCTGCATGTCAAGAAATTTTTGATGATAATACTACAATTTATAATAAACAGCACTATAACATTATTGGTATCTCAAATCTCTATCAAAATTTGAAATTCA